AGAGAACACGACAAAAAGGAAGAGAGACACATGTCAAACAGGATAGATGAATTTGAACACATAATAGATATTATCAGTGTGTATAGAGAAAAGAGTCGTTATGTACATTAATTAAGATAGAACGAGTGCTTATATCAGCACATTAGGTTCTTATTCACACAGAATCTGATATAATTACGTCTGATGATGGTATCTGGTATAGATACCGAAATATTACGTGGTGAATTGAATATCATATAGCTGTTTTATTATATTTTGTATTTTACATCTAATTATATTATATTATATGTCCATATACATTTATAAATAAAAATGAATGAAAAAACAGTGACTCTTCTCCGCATAATTTTGTAATAAATATCTGGAAGAGTGCCGATGTGGGTTTAAGTGTAGATCATCTTGAAACTGACCTCAACAACTGAAACTGACCTCCATCTTTGAAAGTAATGAAATTGGATTATATGGAATCGATTTTCTAGCTGTTGTATTACAAAAGAGTGTAATAAAAATCTTCCATGCATATTTTTATTATATTCTTCATTACTTTTTAAACAGACGATAACAACATTGAATCTCAAACGACAGAAAATCGATGATAATGGTACATAAATAGATCTTGATGGAGAACAGCGAAAAGGAAAACAGCGAAAAAAAATAGAAAGAGGAAAATATCGAAAATTTAGATCACTTAAACGAAATAATTGGAAATGATCATTTTTATTTTTGTGACGCATGGGAAATGCTGCTTTATTAATTAAAAAAAGAATAATATGATAGTATATAAAAAAATGCTATTTTTTTGTTTCCAATTAATAGTGGGTGCTTCCACGCAGCTCCGCCCACTTTTACATCGACTTTCTGCCGGCACGATTTCACTATGCTAGTTTTGTAGTCCTCATCGAGTTATGTAGAAACTGATACTTAGTTTTGATTCAAATAGTGCGCTAAGTCCAGTAGAGCAGGGTAAAAAGTCGATTTTATCGAAAATTCGTCCCCAAAATGGGTCTGTTGTATCTTTCAAGAATATTCTTTAGAAATTTTGATTTCGACATTGGATAGAGCATAAAAAGTTGTCTATTTAAAATAATTTTTAAAAGTATATCTCAAGAATTCATTGCTTGAGAGCATTTGCAAAATTGAGAAAAATTGCACTTTATGCTAAAATTGTAATGTTCCTAAAATTTACACAATCCGTTAAAGACCCCAACATATTCGAATCAAAATGAAGCTTAAACTATGCTTATTCAAATGCAACATGCAAACCTTTTTGAAAGTTTTTATTGGTTCAGATATATGGACCTAAAGGGTCGAGGGGTCACAAAAAACCTCATATTGGGCTTCGATTTTCTCAAAAACTACATGTTAGAATTTCTTGAAAACTTGTTTCCAAGTAGGGGTATTTGTAAAATACGCTCTAACCCACTCTAAGCGCCGTTTAACTCGAAGTTAATATTAATCGATAGAGCTTAGAATTCTACACTCATGAGACCCCACTCTAAGCCATTTGCTTTGAAAAACGTTTGATAAAATAATCAAATACCATTTTTACCAGTCCACTCTAACCCACTTCAAGCCACTCTAATCCACTCTAACCCACTCTAACCCACTCCAAGCCCACTCCAACCCACTCTAAGCCACTTTAAGCCACTCTAACCCATTCTCATGCAGATCTCAAAAAGAAAATTAACTTTCGATAAGAGAAAAAATTATTGAAGTTATTCTTCGATATATCTGAACTTATTCAACTTATGATGGCATCCTCACTGCTTTTCAATGAGTCCTTCGTTCTTTTTTTTTGCAACTATCTTCTTACATATATGATTAATGAAATGAATGTTATACATGCGCTGCGCAATGAGTCATGTTTCTTTTATTATTCTTTTCTTTTTCTGTTTTTTTTTTAATTTGTTCTGTGTTCTCTTGCACATGGAAGTGTCTTGTTAGTACAAGAGTATGAATAAAAAAATGTATCTTCTTTTTTTATGTGTGTGTTGAGCAGGATGTAGCAAGCATGCTTGTTTAAGCAAAGATTCTATGTTTCGGTAGTGTTCATACTGAAATAGGAGAAAAAAACGTTAGAATCCAGTATGTTCTTTAGCTTCCGTTTGAAGTTGTGTTAAGGCGACAATAAAGTCAATGTTCTTAATCTGAAGTTTTTCAGCATCTTCATCAGAAATATGTAATGTTCGATGAGTCTCCATGTCTCGCTTCATGGCTGAGTGCACTGCTCGTCGGACTAGCTTTTCGATATGCGCTCCGGTCATTCCATCAGTTTGATGTATTAAACGTTCGACGTTAACGTCATCGGACAGTAAACAGTTTTTTAATAAAGTCTTAGTATAAATATTAAAAATGGCTGATCGATCTGCTGCATTTGGTACACCAACTTCGATTAATGTGTCCAGTCGCCCTGGACGATAGATAGCCGGATCGATGACTTCCAATACGTTTGTCGTGCCAATAACAAGAATATTATTCAAGTATTTCATACCGTCGATCTCTGTTAAAATTTGAGCGGTTATGCTATCATGAACAGAGTTACGTGTAGAACTTTCTGTTGATCTTCGTTTACATATGGCATCTATCTCATCAAATATAATGAGATGAAGTGGACTTTGTGAGCCATATTTTTTCTGATCTGAATGAGCTCCTTTGAATAGAGCTCGTACTTTTGCTTCTGACTCACCGAGCAACCAATTAAATAGTTCAGGTCCACTGACAATTTTCGGCTGTACATTGAGAATATCAGCTATTGTTTTTGCGATCAAAGTTTTTCCTGTGCCTGGCTGTCCATAAAGTATGAAACCGCGAGGTTTTTTAAGGTCAGTCAGGTCAAAAAATGATCTTGGATAAAATCTTGAAAGAAGTACATCACCAAAAATTGTTTGAAACACATCATCAAGACCTCCAACTCGTTCTTGATATTTAAACTCCTGGTCAAAAATTGAAGTAATAGACATTGGCGGTGGATTCGGTGTATGAGGTAATACGTGATAACAATGTCCTTTTTTAAGACAATGTATATGTCGCTGTTGCTGAGTCATACCGACAGATCCCGACGGTATTAATGAATAAAATGCTTTATCATATACATGTTCATCCTATCGATTAATAATTTTTACCAGTCCACTCTAACCCACTTCAAGCCACTCT